TTTTTTTTTTTTTTTTTTTTTTTCAGGAACCCAGTCAAATCCTCAAGTTGCAATAATGACTGTCAGTGATTCCCAAAATGGGTTGAGAGCCCATTATGGGCCAAGAAACAGCAAGTTGTGGGTACTTGATATGGTTTTCCAAAAATAATTTTTAAATTGCATGTGGCACCAGGACACCCTAGGTCGTAGATCAGTGAATGACTTTGTAGTCATGTCATCTGATCTGTGGATTCATGTTTTAGATGCTCACATGAAGAAAGATCACCGCCTGGTGAGTTGGATCGGTTGGCAGGGGAATGCCTGAGAGAAAATCTTGAAAGAGCTTTAATTTACTGCATCCCAGCTGAGACGGGGCTCATTGAGTCAGAATGGACCATGTTCTGTGCCTCAGTTGTTGAGACGGCTCCCTTGAGCTGTGGCTGCAAGACTGTGCTTCTCTCTGTGGTCATCCTTGAACATGGTGGTTGACGTCTTGGGTTAGGGATGCTGTCAAGCTGAAGAAGGAGTCCTGTCAGGCCTTGTTGGCTGGTAGGACACCGGAGGCAGCTGAGGAGTATCAGCAGGCCAAGCGGGCTGCAGCCTTGGCTGTTGCTGAGGTAAAAACTTGATTGTGGGAGGTTTTCTGTGGATTTTTTCCATGGACTTTCACTCACAATACATATTGTATGTAAACTTTGTTCAACATGCTGGCGTCAGTGTGCTAGTAATTTTAAAAAAAACCTACATCCAACCTATGCAACTTGCACCAGCAAGTTTGCTTTTTTTCATTTGAAAATGAAACAGGACCCAGAATCTGTGAAAAATGACATTTGCCAAGGAGTGTCCAAAATTTATCTTAGAAACTATTCTGAATTTCTTTGTAGGGGTAATAAGGCATGCTCACATGTTGCTGTAATTTTGAAGATAATGAAAAGTTCTCAAAGCAAATTTTCTCTCAAAATGAAGAATCATCATTAGTGCCTGGAACCTGTCTCTATTTAATTTCAGTAATTCTGGAACACTAAATCTGTGATTTTGTTGTTGAAATGTAAAGACGAGGCAAATTTTGATCTAAACCAGTGTCGTTCGGAGTGATTTCAAGTCAAAATTTGCATATTTTCTCGCAGTCTCAGTCTCCAACAGGTAAAATGAGATATTACATAACTGTTATGTCCTTGTGGATAACTATTTGTCTGTCCATCTGTTTTCTTGCGCTTATTCGGGGTTGGGTTGCAAGGGCAGCAGCCTACGCAGGACRGCCCAGACCTCCCTCTCCCCAGCCACTTGGGCCAGCTCGTCAGGAATCCCAAGGTGTTCCCAGGCCAGCTGAGAAACATAGTCCCTCCAGAGTGTCCTGGGTCTTCCTCAGGGCCTCCTCCCAGTGGGACGTGCCCGGAACACCTCACCAGGGGGGGCGTCCAGGAGGCATCCTAACCAGATGCCCGAGCCACCTCAACTGGCTCCTCTCGACGTGGAGGAGCAGCGGCTCTACTCTGAGTCCCTCCTGGATGACTGAGCTTCCCACCCTATCTCCAAGGGAGAGCCCAGACACCCTGCACTCATTTCAGCTGCTTGTATCTGCGATCTTGTTCTTTCGGTCACTACCCAAAGCTCCTGACCATAGATGAGATGATCATTTGTATTTTGTTTATATTTAATTCAGCAATAAATGGACTTGCAATCCTTTGTCATTAGCCACAATGACTAAAATGAAAT